TTAAAGCTTTTCTGCACAACTATTTTTGTAATTGTTATTTGTAATAGCCTGGTACAGGAAAATACTGCTTCATCGTTCTTGATGTTGTTATCCTGTAGTTCTACACTGCCTCCTAAAACTGGGAGGCAATTCATTTTGTTTTTGACCATCTTTGTGTGTGTGTTTGGTGCCATTCAATCTCTGTAAAGACCACAAGGATAAGTTTGTTCTCCTTGATAAGATACAGCTAGGACACTAAATAATTATTTTTAGGAAGGTTCCATGGATTCCATTTTTGTGTAAAAACGGTGAAAATCTCAAACAAAAGAAGACTCCACATGTTTTTCCATCCCATTTATTCTTCAATAGACTGGATTTAAAACAAGAAGTGTCATTATAATGATGACACAGCCTGCAAGACACAAGTCAATGAGCTAGTGAATGAGTTAAAGGAATCACTATAAGTTGTTTGAAAAAACTCAGTATCTAAATGTAAACATGCACTTGATATTTCATATTTTTAATTTGTAATGTTTTCCTCTAAGCAGACATTTATACTTTAAACTTCAGGTGTATGTGGTTATTCTGAAATGAAGAAAATTCTGCAATAATTCTAGTGTTTCTAGTGGCATAGCCTACGTTACTATAATACTGCATGGAATTAGAGCAATTTGAAAAGCAGTTGCAATGCCCTCAACGGAAAGCATCTCTGAGACTAAATGAGGATGTCTGTGAAACAAATACACATTTTAAACAGACTTGTGTTAAAAAATATTTGTATTTTGCACTGCCTCCAATCTAGTCTAGTTCAATGCAGAAATGCCACTTCTGACAAACACTCATTTTTCCATTTTATTAAGTCTGTCAAATATAGAAATCTTTCATTTGAATTGAAATTTTTTCCCCTCCAAATTCAAATGAAACTTCTCAGTTGGGTGTGTGCAGGCTGTAAATGCTTCTTCTGCAGAATCCAACTGTTGGAACACGTGGTAATCTGTGCGAAGCCTGCCAGTCCCTCAGCAGACGTACACAGGGGGTAAATTTTGCAAACACTTGTTAAACAGAGAGCAGAGCTCACTGTTTGGCAGAGATTGTAAGACTGTCATCATTTTTGACAGATGAGATTTTGGGGTTTTTTTGTAAATTGATATATGTTGATGTAACCTAATGGTGGCTGATGAACCTGGTTGGGAAAATAGTAAGCAATGAAGGGAACAAGCCAGTGACAAGTTGATGTGGATTGTGAAGTCAAGTGCAAACTAGCAACATGTGTTTTACCACTGCCAAGTGCAAAGTTGTTCATTTAAGAACCAAATAGGAGTGCAGCGCTGATGGCGGCAGTTCAGTGAGATGCCACAAGCATGACTGGGGTGAAGAGAAAATAAGTATCTTCTGTTTCTTATCTCTACTTATCTCCAGGTATCTATAGGGAAAGCCAAAATTTGACAAAGTGTTTCTAAATCTGAAGGCAAAACCAGAATCACATACTATTCCTGGCAGCTGAGGTTGTATAAATTCTGTCTAGAAATATGGTTCACCTTTTTTTTTAAAAAAAACACAACACAGTATGGTAATTAACAGTAAGATAAAAGAGAAACAAGTTCTTGAGGTTGGAATGAATATTCTTTTACTGGGAAAATATTGACAGAGACCGAATTGTTTTCATAAATGACATGCTCTGGCCTGAAGAGAGCAGCCCAGGGAAGTCCCATGGAGTGTGCTGTGCAGAAAGTCACAGGAAATGAATGGCCTTATCCACACTGGTATCTGGTGGATCTTGAAAGCACGAGAATCTTCTTGCTGATCATATTTCTGAAAGAACTCAGAATCTGGCCTCTTGGCAATCTACCTCCTTTGTCAAACTATAACACAGCTGTTTTGTCAATTGTCCCCAAGCCCCTGGCACCAGCAGATGTCTTTTTAACTGCTGTGGCATGCAGATGAAGTGGTTGCCCATCATTGTCTCATGGCTTTTCAAAGCACGTGTCCAGCAGACATTTAGCCAAGTGATGAGAAGCTTAACAGAGAGGAAGACCAAACCTTGCTCCAAAACTTGAGCAATGTCACTGAACTGGCAGTAGCTAGAGGGGGTAGGAAGGCACGGAAACAAGAACATCTCCTTGAGGAGAAACTCTCTGCCTTTGGATGCTCAGTGAGGTAAGTCCTCTCTGTGCTCCTTCCATTCTTACAGATGTCAAGAGCTAACGTTAGTGTACATGAAGGGAAGCTGGCTGCATGAGGCAAAGTACCGTCATGAAGGAGTTCTTTGGTGCTTCAGACATTGTTTGGGGCCAGAGTTGTGTGGGGAGGTAGCAAGAAGGGATAATACTGAGCTGTAACTCTGTGGCTGGGGTACAGTCATTCTGTAAAAAGTAAAGTAATGATAAGAGTTTAAAAAGCTAGTTTTAAGCAAGCTGGATTCAGTACTGAAGCAATGCTGTTAAGCTGGCTAGAGCTTACACATCGGCAAGGGGCTAAACAGCATGGAGGAAAATACGTTTCTTAGCTTGGTATCGCTCTCAGTGGTCTCTTCTGTTGTTCCTCTTCTGCTGTGAGATATTTTCCAGCTCTTGGAGACTTCTATAGCTCATGTTTCCAGTGAGGTTCAGTCATATAATTAATTTGTCTCTTGTAAGACCTGCATTCTGTCTCATTCCATGTGCCTTCTGTTAGATTCTGGCTAAAGATCTTGTCAGCTGTATTTCAGGTCAGTAGGTTATAGCTATGTGAATGTCAGTACACTAGGAAACCTCATTTCACCAGAAAGCAGTGTTTCCACTGTGAAATATGCCTTGTGTCATGCTATATTCTGTATTCATCATGCAATGATATTTCAGTGGGATGCCTGTAGTATTGGGGAGCTGATCACCTCATATGGTAGCTGCCGGTAGCTTTTTTTTGAAGATTAACGAAAATGAGATTTCCTGCAGAATTTTACAGTGACGGGATTTAATGATGACCGCAAAATTCTGCAGAAACCTGCATTTCAGTGACTTGGTTGCTTATCTGCAGACAGAAATAGGTCTCTAGCTGTCCCCTTAATAGGATTGTCTGAGTAAAATATCAGTTATCTGACTTCCGCTTATCTGTTCCTCACTGCCTCCAGTTCATGTTTCACTGGCGGGCTCCGAAGGGTGATTGCAAGGGGTCCTTCTTCTCCAAGCACAGCCTTGTTGCTGGGGCTGCTCACACCAACCCACATTTCCAGCCTGTTGCCTTTAGGGCAGTGGCACTTTTTAAGCTTTGAATATGCATTTCAAATTAAAACAGTGTGATAATACCGCTTTTTAGAGACATCTTTTTGAATTTAAGCTTAGGAACCTGGAGAAACTGATGAACAGCTATTGCTAATCCCTTCTGGCTTGCACGGTTTTGAGGCTGAAACGCAACGTCTCAGAAACAAGAACAGAACTGGGAGGAACTTGCATGGTTTCTGATGAAAGAGCTGCAGTGTGCCAATCAGCAGCACCTCTGAGAAAAAGCTCCTTCATTACAACCCATTTTACGTCTAATAATGTGTTGGAATTGGTTGTGCACATAACTCTGAAATGCAGTTTCAGACAGAAAAGGTCAGTGAGTGCCAATAACCAACACATCAATTTGACATATGGCAGTTGTAGTTATGTTGATTACAATAATATATCTGGAGTCTTAGATGCATTGGGATAGCTAGAGAATAACTGACTTTTCAATGTATAAAGAGATCTTGATTACTGTAGGGGTGAATGCTTAGAAATATTGCTAAGAAACAACAAAAAATATCTAAGATGCACCACAGATATTCATTCCCCACTGCAAGCAAAACCAGTTTATGAAACTGTTGTGTTTTGTGGGTATTTCCTCTTTTCCACAAAAGAGAGAACTGCTAAAGCACTTTTTTCCCCACCTAACATTTGGCAGTACGTACTGCCTAAAAATGAAAATAAGCTGAAACCCCAGTTGTACAAAGAGATCGAGGTACTACTTTGTGAAGTTAACAACGTTGCAGTATTAACAGAAAAGCTGCAAAAACTCCCTCAGAAAAAAACACCCTCATGTGCCGTGGGATTCACCGGTGAAACAGGTGACATAACAGAGTCAGGTTTAAATTATACTTCAGGCAGCAGTAGCTGCATAACTGGGACAGTACAGAGCCCAGCACTGTTCAGTTTTCCCCGTTTCTTTTCTGTGGCTGTTTTGTGGACATTCCCTTGACACTTTCATAGATATAAACATGCTTCAGGGTAAGACCCTACCTGAACTCTTCCCCTCCCACATGATCTTGTAGTACTTAAAAATCCAACCAGAAGTTACATTAAGAATTACAAGTATTATACTTAATCTCTCTTTGAAACCACATTATATTAAAAATGTATAGCTTACTTATAGCCACTTATTAAACTTGCTGTTAACTTTCATGTATCCTCAGCTTGGCCCGGGCTGGCTTATTTGCACTAACCCAGGATGCCCTTTCCTAACAGCCCATTTTGTAACACCCGGTTACCACATGCTAGAGCTGAAACGGCCCTGAGCACCAGGACAGCACTGCCCATGCTGGTCTGGCAGGATCTGAGCAGAATCTCCATGGAGCCTCGGTATCCATGGTGTTTAATCCCTTACTCAGATCAGATGTCGTGGACAAGAAGGAGTTGACTGTAATGTGTGCAAAACTCAGTTCTCGTAACAAAATTTGTAGCTTTGACAGAGCAACATATGGTTATTATCTGGTTCTGGAAAGGGCAGATTTGTGTTGCAAATACACAAACTGATGAATGAGTAGCAAAATTCAAACAATATCTCTGATCTTCACTGCAAAAATATGCAGATGCTCAGAAGAGAGAAGAACTAATAACAGAGAGCTCATAACCACCACAATCATGTCATTTCTCTAAGGATGTGTTCTTCCCACGTATTACTAACTCATGCTTGTTTTTAAGGGTATGGCTAGCAACGTCTTAAGGACTAGAGCAGCTTCTCCGCCCAACCTTCTCAGCCATTTTTCTCTAGGCTTGACAATATTTTGATAAAACTACTTGTTACAGCTTGTGCCAGCTGTGAGATTCCAGGATTATCCCTTGAGCAAGATGCAGGTGGAAAGCTCTGCTGACTTTTCAGGTGGGCCCTCTCATTCCTACCTTATTTTTGTCTTTATGTATTCTTTCTTTTCTAGAATATGTAGAAGGAAGATTTCAGCAACATGATTGAACAGTATAGAAACAGCAGTGACTCCTCTGCCTTCACTCACACCAACACCATGAGTACCATACTGATTACTGCCTACTCAGTTGCCTTTGCGGGAGGTGGGATTGGGTCCATCACAATGTTGTTTGTCCTGGTCAAGATGAACACTCTGTCTGTGACAACTACAGCCATCATTAACCTGGTTGTTGTGCACAGCCTCCTGCTCTTCACGGTGCCCTTCCGTCTGCACTACTACATCAACAAGAAGTGGATATTCAAGATGCCAGTTTGCAAAATGGTAAGTGCAATGGTGCACATCCACATGTACCTGACCTTCCTATTCTACGTGATCACACTGGTGATCCGGTGGCTCATCTTCTTTCAATGGAAGGACAAGGTGGAGTTTTACAGGAAGCTGCACGCCATTGCAGCAAGCGCTGCCGTGTGGGTCTTCGTCATGGTCTTTGTGGTGCCAGGCTTTTACTTTGAGTATGGACGCTCAGGCGAATACAATGAAACCACATGCTTTAAGTTCCACAGAGAGCTACAGCAGGAGAGCGTGAAAGCCCTGAACTACACCATAATTGTAGCTGTCACCTGCATTACTTGTGTCCTCTTGGGCCTGCAGATTTTCGTCCTGGTAAAAGTGGTGAGAAAACTTTCCACCTCCCTCTGGTCACACCAAGAGTTCTGGGCCCAGCTGAAAAACTTGATTTTCATCTGCGTCATCATAATCTGCTTCCTTCCCTATCATCTCTTCAGGGCCTACTACATACAGCATGTCAATGATTTTGAACAGTTAGAAAGCTACAATGAAGTTTTTCTGAGTCTGACTGCCCTCAGCTGTCTAGACCTGCTGTCATTCGAGCTGAGCGGGAGCCGCCTCTTCAAGCAGAAGGTGGGCACCCTCCGCAGCAGGCTGTCTTGTTGCTAGCATCAACCTCCTGCAGCCTGTGCGGATCTGGACCCGGCAGAGCACGGTGCTGGACAGGCATGGCAAACCCTGTCCGCAGCAAGTCAGAGGGCACCCTGGAAACAGCGCAACACACTCACGTGGGGCTCTGCTCCCCGAAACAATGGGGTGGATGGCTGCCAGTGTCCCAGACGGTAAACTGGAAGGCTACCTCTTGAATTTCCTCACGGTGCTACCTAGCGAGTCGTGGATGCACCTGGAGGAGAGGGGGGAAAGGTCATGGGCTCTTCTGCCTTACTGTTTTTACATCAAGGTCTCTGAGGGCAAAGGCACTAGGAGGGGACTCCAGAGAATTTTCAAAGTATGTAGAAACACAAATAGAAAAGTAGGGCTTTATGGAAGAAGGTACAGATTTTTTAGACTTTAAGATCTAGTCTTCCACATACATTTCTTATTTATTCTCTGCAAGCTCTCATAAAATATCAGGGAAAGTAGTCTTCCTCCTGAGTAGGTCTGTTCCTTCATTGTAAAGACAAGTGCAACTTTCTAAGTGAATTGAACAATTAAAACAACCCTTTAAAAACAAATCAGCACGAAACAGTTATTTCTTAAAATATTTTCCCAAAATCACCTTTTGGACATGGTATCAACTGCAGCAGAAAAGAGTTTTGTTCTCTTTCCCACATTATGAAAATGTCTCTAACAACAAAATTACACATTGTTACTGAAATGAACATTGTAAGTTCAAATAAGAGCCTGTATTTTTATTTACAGAATTGTTCAAATTTTAAAAGTTTAAATTTTTCAGCTAGAGTCAGTGGGATAATACTTTAATCATTTGACAAATTAGAGTTTATTATCTGATCGATTTCCAGTGACAGTCTCTCCTCATGATGCTGTTGAATGCCACTTCTTCATGCTCCTGAATGACTCCATTCCTTTCTATTTCACCTTCAACATCTCTTGCACATCAGACAGCAACCAAATAACAATTGGTTGACCTTGCTGTACCTGTACAATCTTACTGCTATGCTCCTTGCTTTTGGTCTCACCAAGATGGTCACTTTGTAGGATCCCATCTCTTCTATAGCCTTTCTCACCTGTCTTCCTTCTGGAATCAAGCTCCTCTACATCTCTTGGGAGGTCTGATCACGAGAAAGTATTTTCAGGTCAGAGTCTGAGTAGTGCTATGTAACACCAAAGGTTAGAAATCACTGACATTGATAACACAAGTGAGATGTGGAGGTGCTTGCATGGCCCACCCTTGGCAAATATCTTGGATCACAACATCTGTTAAGACAGAAATGTGAGAGCCTGCAGTGTGTGTGGATCTGAGAAAAAAAACGTCTGAGAAGGCGTTTGCCCCAAAAGGATCATGGTAAAGAGGAAGATGACTACCAGGCAGATTGAAAAGTAGCCGGGGAACTACTTTCATGACATGAAAGGAGTCAGTTTCAATGTGTAGTTCACTACTAGTTAATTATGTGTCATTAAGAAAGCAGTAAATTGCTCTGTTCCATATTTGTTTTAAAACTACATGAACAAATCATTATTCCCATGTGTCAGAAGAGTAGATAGAAAATGGCACAGCATTTTTGTTTCCTTCTATAGCAACATTGTTGGTGGAAGAAAATACCTTGCACATGTTCTGTAGGCACTGCATACCTTTGTAACACTATATTATAACTCTTCGATCATAATAAAGTTGTTAGCAAACACAATGACTACGTGCTGAAAAAGTTAAGCAAGTCCTTCCCGCAAATACGCATATAAATGAAAAGCATTTTGTATCTGAATTTGGCAAGACTTTCAAAAAATAAAACATATTTTTACAAACAGTACCTCCTGACCATGCAGCCTCGCCAATCTTGCTCACATATGTGTTAAAAGCACAAGATGTTTAATTCTTGTAAAAATGTACACATTCACAATACCCTGCACCGTAACATCACAAACAATACTACATAGTGGGTTTTTTCCCAAATAAAAATTGTTGGTAATGATATTAATGCTAACTCAGGATGACAATGAGCAGGATTAGGGGTCATAATTCCATTCTTTAGGTTGGTGATACTATTCAGCACCAAGTCCTGCTTTTTATGGGACTGTCTACGCAAACTTTGCATCCATCGCTCATCTCGCTCTGTGAGTGTTGGTGTCTGGCAGAGAAAGCCTGCCTCCGCCCTAAGAGAACGACATCTCGGTTAACACTGGCAAGAAATGCCCTGCTGGGTGGTGACAGAGCAGTGCTTCCAGCGAGGGGGCTGACAGGGCTTGCAGGGAGGACTGCTTGCTGCTCCCTCCAGCCTCACCCTGCTGTGTCCCTTCGCTGGCTGCTTGCTCCCGAGCACCCTCCCGGGCACCCACCCTGCTCACTTCCCCCAGGAGGGCTGAGGAGGGGTGGAGGTGATGCCAGGGAGTGCCACAGAGGGAGAAGACTGTGAATAACTCCTGAAAATGAAAGTTTAGACAAGGCCAGAACAGCATCCAGAACATAGCCAAGTGGCTCCTGTGACCAGGGAAGGCAGAGGCAATGCTAGGGAACTGCTGACGTGTGGGAGACAATCTAGACAGGAATGGGGAATTTCCAGTTACCGTCCCCTGCTTGGTCAGAGGCTCCACAGGGTTAAAAAACACCCTGACTTTGCTGACTCTGGATCACAGAGGATAGCTCTGGATTAGAAAACCACCACCCGAGCACAAAAAAAAATGGATTACAGCAGGACATAGAGGGGATAGGACCTGGAGAATGTGAGAAGGGATGAGGATAGGAGAGCAGAATGTCAGCATGTTTCTGCCACACAGTGGCAAGATGACATAGATTGTGTGTCTGGCCTTCATCTCATGTTGCTCACTGAACCCTTAAAGTTGCCAAAAAGTGGCACTGTCACTGATGGGAGCAAACTTGCCCTCTGCCACTCCTTGTCCCCATACCCAGCTCTCCCTCTCCACAGGGCTGGGATTCTGCTGCTGAATGGCTGTCAGCTGTGCCAGTTCCCCCTCCAGCTCACCAGAGTCATGCAAAATTCAGTCAATGCAAGGATAAATACAGCAAGATTGCTTTTTTGCAGCAATGCTGATTTGGGTCATTTATCAGACTGTAATCCTGCTTGCTTAATTCCCCTTAGAATCCATATCTTTTCTTTCCAGGCAGTTTTCCACAGATCCACATCATCTAACATTTCCATTTCCATGTGCTCCCAAGGACCAGGGTGCCTTAGACTAGAGGCACTGATAGGGGAAGGAGGGACCTCCACAGCTGCAGACCAGGAGAGGGGTTTCAGGCACTTGATGCTCTCCCCAGGGATGGGGAGAAATGGGTATGGCAACCCCCCAAGGCAGCAGAGGCAGCAGTTCCTGAACAGAAACCTCAATAGAGTTGCATTACTGAACGATTTCTGACCCATAAAGTCACCCGTTTCTGCTGTTCTTGGGGAAACAGGACTTTGTGTGAATTTTCCCTGTAAGTAAACCCTATAGCTGGGGCTTGACTGGAAACAAGGACTGGTTTCAAAACTTGAGGGATCATCAGTAATACACCAGCTTGGCCTCCCAGACAGAAACTTGAGAAAATCAGACTAAACTTTCTGGTACTCAGTGAGGTAATTTTCCCCACTTGCAAACAGCTGCTTAATAAGCCAGATTTTTGTTGAAAAGAGAAATACGAATAAAGACAATATACAGCATCCGTTCCCTGAAGTATAACTGTAAGTAGTATATAGTCCTCTTTCCTCTGGTGAGGCCACAGACAGTCCAGCTGGCTGCTTTCAGTCTTGACCAGTAACACTTCCCTTTCTCCCAGTAACGCCTCTAGTTTGGGAGTCCCTGGCTAATTTTACCCTTTTGCTGCGGTAGCTGTGCCCTCAATGAGCTGTGTGCCATCCAGGAGTGGCCGGGAGTCAGAGGTCCTCACTCGGAGGTGTTGCTAAAGGTGCCAGGCCCATGGCTGAGAAGGCTAACACACAACTACCTCGGGGCTCAGCTATCAACTGTGCAACCCCATCTAGATGACCCACAGAGGTCCCTTCCAACCCCAAACATTCTGTGATTCTGTGATTCTGTGGGGTCACGACTAGAAAGGGCCACATGCCCAGTGCCATCAAAAGAGGCAAGACAGATGTTAGTACACAAATTAAACAGCACCTCCAAATCCTTCTGAACTTGGGAAGCAGGACCCTGACTTCTGCTTGGCAGGGGCTGCACGCCTGCGAAGAGGACCCATGGAAAAGATCTCACAGACTCTCATCTGCTTTAAAGGTCTACAGCACAAAGAAACATAACGACCCGCCTACGGCTACGGCAGGGAGGCATACACTAGTGGTGGCAACCTCTCTCACAGAGATGCAGGGGCACAAAAGGTTAGACATGCAGATAGGTCTTGGTCTTCCCAGTGCCCTTCCTCAGCAGACGTGAGACTACGCAAAGACTCCCCTACGCAGGTACTACAAAAGCACGGGAGAAATAAGAAAATAAGGACAGCACAGACTGTATCTGCATTGATGGAAGATCCTGTGGGTGACAACCGTGAATATACCCTTGGTGAGCGGGAAAGCCTGACCAGTCTGGGGGCTGCATGCAAAGACGAATGGGTGCGAACTCCACATACATGGAGGCAGACCCCAGCTCCCGTCCTCTGCTACAAAAGGAGCATCTGAATCAGTGTCTGCTCAAGACATGAAGTGTGTCCATATGCTAGAAATAGCATCATGAAGTTTCACGTAATGAAAAGCACTACGTAAGTTAAATTCAGCTTGCAAGAAGAAAACTACCTCTGCAGTAAACTGGTCTTCAGAAGCTTACATCCAAATGGTGGACAATCTGTATGTATTATGATGATAATATAAAAGTGGCTATTTGGGGGGGGAAAAAAAAAAGGTTGGAAATTTGCAGTTCTTTCATGAAAAGACTGTTTCGGCCACATAAAATGGCTGGTTTTAGGCATTTCAGACAATAATAGCCATTTTATTACACTGCTGCACCACATTCTTTACTTGGTCATCACCTGAAATGTCTAATGGTTT